GTGTCTAACATATGTCAAGTGATTCCATATTGAGATTTGAAGCATAAATAGTAAAAGAAATAATGCATATTTGGCCAAAATAAAGTGATTTGGAAAGACTTTGGATGTTAGGGTTCATAGGGTTGAGATTCTGGTACCTCTGTTTTCCTCTTTAAAAACTTGACTGGCTTATCCATTTGGTTAATTTAGTAGAAGGGTAAAGCATTTGGATAATCTTTAGTGCAGTTATAAAAAGTAAAACTTACTACTTTATTTAATTAAATTTATATTTGAAGAGATAATACCCTTTAAACATATTTTAGCCAAAATGCTGTACAAATTATTTAAATATATGTAATTGTCAAATGCTATACTTTATATTTGGAGGAAACAACAGTAACAACAAGTGCTTACCTTGTCTAGTCTTAAGCAGCAAAATGGCATTTTTCATGAAGGAGATGACAAAAAGTTGGTGAACTTCCTATATATGGAGAATAAGGTGGGTAGCCTTTAGCATACCTGCAAAACAAGATGAAATATTACCCTTGAATAAGGCTTGCAACATTTGAAAATTAAGTTACGGCCATGTTCCTCTGTTTCCATAAAGTTAGAATCAGTAACTCACTATGTTGTAATCATATTTTGATTAATGACGTAGTTTAGAACCAGGGTAGGAAAACTACTGCTCAGAGATCAAATCTGGCCCACCACATGATTTTGTGATCTAAAGGTGGTTTTTATACATATAAATGTTTTTAAAAAAAGAATAATATTTTATGTCATGTAAAAATCATATAAAGTTGAAATTTTAGTATCCATACATAAAGGTTTATTGAAATACAGATCCATTTATGTGAAATACACATTCATTTATGTGTTGTGTGCATGGGTGCTTTTGTGCTTCAACAAGAGAGTTGAATCATTGCAACTAGGATCATAAAGCCTAAAATATTTACTAGCTGTTCCTTTCTAGACAAAGTTTGCCAACCCTTAGTGTGGAGAATTTAGATGTATTTTTAACAAACAACAATGTTAATTTTTACAAAATACACTTAAAGAAAAATGCATTATTATGATTACTCTCTCAATATTCACTAGCCATGAATGCATAATCAAAAGGGGGCAAATGATTGACTTAATTTGTTAGAGTTTTTCTGGAATCATTTTTCAAGGACATTCAGTATGTTTGCTGACTTCTGAAAAATAACCACATGCACATTTTGGCTATGCTGACTTTCAAAAGGAAACTTCTAAAAAGTAGTAGCATAAATGAAAATTAGGAAATAAAAGAAAATTTAGTGAAAGCAATATTCCTTTATCCAATAGGGAAGCTCTTGATTTAAATAAATGTGCCAGATAAAACATGAAATTTTGGACCTAGTTGAAACTGTTTTCCAGACATCATTTGCTGAGAAGTAAAAATAGAGCACATTTTGTGCATTTAGAAGTTGGTGATTTTCAGTACTACTTCAACATCTCTTTCATTTTTCTACAAATAAAAAAACCTCTACCTCATTTTTTTCAGAAATAAGTATGAAAAAAGAATTTCAACCACACCCCAAAACACCATTTCCTGGAACGATACCGGTTGCCAAACCTCTCCCTGTTCCCATCCTGGATTCCACAAATATATTTGAGCACTCAGGCCATTAATTTCCTGGAGAGTGGATTTTGTTCTCTGGGTACATCAAAGTTTATTGTAATAAATGAAAAAAGAAAAAATGCAGAGCGAGGGATTAAAAAAAAAGAGATCTTTCCAAGTTTCAGTGGTATTTCAGTTTGTTTTAGTTTAATTAAACATTAATCAAGCTTATATTATATGAAAGGTATTGGGACAAAGGTTAGGAGATGATGTTACTGATGCCACTAATACCGGTATTACTTCTAATGGTAATTAATACTTACTGAATGCTTACTCTGCCAAAACATAATCATAACCACTTTTCTCCATTATCTCATATAATCTTCAGATAACGTTATGGAGGTAGTAATTCCACTCAGTTTACAGGTAAAGAAATTGTAGGCAAGATTGTTCAGTCAAAGTCATTCATACACAATAGTATAAGGTGGGTCTGGCACAGCAAAGTCTTTCAGACTCCAAAGTCAAGGCTGTGGACCACTACGCTCTCCACAAGCACTGGCAATATATATGTGGAATAAAACATGCAAACAAACTCTACTGCAGGCTAAAATGTGATTAATGTTATATAGATTGGTACTGCATTATTATGGAAGCTTACAAAAGGGACACAGCACTTCTTTTATTCAACATTTAAAATATTATTGATGCATCCTGTATGAAAAAGACTGCGAAAAGCTGAGATGAGCAAGGGAAGCTTAATGGAAGAGGCTGCATTCACATACCATTGAATAACTGATTGAGCTTTAATAAGGACGTGAAATAAAAAAAAAGAGGTAGAATGTACAATATAATAAAAAAACTCACAGTTATGAAAATGCAGTTTATATCCTGGAATACTGGTTTTTGTCTTTTTTTTTTCTTTAAAGATAAAGAATAACTTAGAAGAATGAGGCTGGAAATACATGTTGAAGCCAGAAACTTGAGGGCTTAGAATGTTCTGTAGTCGAGAGATACTGAGTAATAGAAGGGTGTTTTGGTAGAAGCATGTAGAAATGATTCTACAATGGCCACAAGGTAAGAACATTAGTTCCTTATGTATTGCTAAAGTACCTAAAAACATTACCTAAGGATATTAGCACAAACCCAGTAATCTTACATCTTCGAGCATCTAAACATACTCTAAGTTTGAAGAAATTTCTTCATCTGGTGTAGTTTCATCTTCTGATTGGTCACTTAGAAGATCACATGTTTGAATTGACGATGTATCTGCAACCTCTAAAACAGGAGCAATGCTAGGTCTTCTCACTTCTTTGCTTCCCTCTGCAGGAAGAGACAGGGTAGGGCCACTTGCTGCTCTACAGCTTGTGTCTTGCAAGTCTATAGCCACAGTACCTAAAACAATCAAACATGAAAATTCATCAAGACATTTGCTATCTATATGTCAATATTGATCACTGGACGATGGAAGTGAAATGAAATACAATCAGCGTAATCAAGAAATATGTATATATTTTTTAGCCTTGAGTTCAAAAAGCTAATTATTTCTTTTTCATGTGGCCATTTCCCTGGATAAGAAATTCTGCATTTGTGTAGAAAAGTGTATTTGCTGATTGTCTCCCTATAGCACAAAACATAAAATCTGTCAAGTCCTGAAGTATGTAGAAACTAAAAGTGAAAAGGTACACTCTGTTGTTTCAGTTTATATTTCTTTAAAATTTAAATTTGTTTTGTTGGCCAATTTTTTAAAATTCTCATTTCGTCTTTCTCCCCCTTTTTTATTAAGGTTTTTTTTTTTTTTTACTGATTTGTAACCACCTTTTCATATCAGAACACTGACATTTTACATATTTTTTTAAAAAGCAATATTTATTATGTACTGCATCCATGCATGCCATATATGGGGAGCAATATTCTAAGCACTTGAGATATGTAGAAAAGCAGACAGACAAGGTTTCTACACACATGGATTTTATCTTTAAAATAACCAAGTAGACAAATAAATGAGTAAAGTAATTTTAGACAATGATAAATAGCACACAGGAAAAACAAAAGCAAAAAAAAAAAAACAGCATGACATGATAAAAAACGGGGGGGCTGGGGACATTTGATTTTTGACACGAAAGAGAGTAAGAAACATGCAAGTCAGTAGCTTACGGCTATTGAATACTCGAGGTGTTCAAGGAATAGGAAGAAGAAGAAACAATTCCCTTTGTGATTCTTATTGGAATTTAAAAATTAATTTAAACATCAACTTATGGAAAATTGATGTCTCTCCCTCTTGGAGAAAATAATGCAACCTAATCAATGAATGCCACCATATTTCATGATCACTCCTTCATGTGTGCACTCAGTCACACCTGGTCATCCTTCTAGAAGTCCTTAGTCTTCACTTCATCCCATTCTTTAAAGCAATTGTTTAAAATTCTACTTCCCTCAAACCTCTGACCTTCCAACCTTCTTCTTCATTATAACAGCATGAGTTTGTAAGGGGAGGGGAGAGCTAATGGATTGTTGCATTTCTTTTCTTGTACCATGGAAAGAGGTCAGCTACAGATTTCTAAAAATGTTGAGGAGAATTACAAGTCTTCACAGAGAAAGGGTGGAAATTCATTTCTGAGTGTGAGAGTTGATAGGGACAAGACTGGTGAGAACATCTGGGTATTCCTCACAACTGGAATAAGTTCGGGGGTTAAGTTTCAGGGGCTGTTACCTGTTACACATACTGCACTTTCTTTTTTTTTTCTTTTTGTCTTTTTCCGTGTCCGGCAACGGATCGCAACCCTCAGTGTCATGCCTGTACCGGACCGGGACCGGCAACGGGATTGCAACCCTCGGTGTTGCACCCGCACCTCGCTCAGCCAGTGAGCGGGAACCGGTCTGTACGTGGGATCCGAACCCTCGGCGGGAGCGCCGCCACGCTCCCAAGCGGCACACTGTAGCAGTGCGCCACTGGGCCGGCACCATACTGCACTTTCACATACACCCACACCGCACCCTGTGTATTGTGAGAGAGGCTGGTAGCCTGCAGTAATCAGGGGAGTCTCTACAAGGAGACTTGCGAGTTTGTCCGAAACAGCTCGGCCTAAGAAAAAGATGTGGGGACCAACACTCAGCAGATCCAATATCTGAGGTAAGGTAATATTAGAAGCTATGGACACAGTCCTTTCTAATTTTTGGCAGCATAAACACAGGATTAACATAATGCAACCTGTGTATGCTTGGGTGAGGGGAGGGGGATTTTTCGAGGTGATGAGATTAAATTGTCCATTAAGCAGTGAGTGGATTTGATTTATTTAAATTTTATAAATTTGATTTATAAAAATAAAAGAAAGCCATATGATATGTTCTAAAGTTGCAAACTCAGATTTGTATTTACTGCATTTGCCCTCTGCAGATGACTATGTCGTCTATTTCAGAGAGAAAAGAGAAGTTATCATAGAACTCTTCCTAGTCCCTCTGTCCAAATAAGCAAAAATGAGAGCTTCCCCAAGTTTTTCTTCTCTTATTTCTGTTTACAAGGAAACAGACATACCTCCCTTCATGTGAAACTAATCCCTACTCTTGTGCTGTGGATTAAATTCTCTTGGACCCTCCAAGGAATTGTGATCTTTTTATCACCTCCTCCCCAGTCTATGACTCTGCATCACCTCCGACCATTTCTTTATCCTTTTCCTGTCTAACGCAGGCAGGCTTCTTGAAGGAGCGTTTGCACATGCGTTCTGCTTCTGGCCACTTCTGGTGTCTTCTGAGGGCTGGGAGGAAAGAATCTGTTCTGGTCTTCACTCCTTGGCTCGTCCATGACCATCTTCTCCCTGTGTCTCTTTTCATCACTGTCCTGCTATGCATGTCTGTGCCCTAATTTCCTCTTCTCATAAGTACACTAGTCATACTGGATTAGGGCTCACTCCAATGGCCTCATTTTAACTCGATTACCTCTGTAAAACCCTGTCTCCAAATAAGGGCACATTCTAAGGCACTGGGGGTAAGGACTTCCATACATGACTCTGGGGGAACCCAGTTCAACCCATAGCACTACTCTTGCCTCATCCAGTGTTTTCAAAATATGAGTAGATGAACCTTCCCACACTCTGACCTCTCAATTTCTTGAATTCACTGAAGAATGGCTTCTTCACCTTGTCTAGCCCTTCACTTCCACGGCGATTATAGTGATTATACCAACTTTTCATCGTCTCCTTCCCTCCCTTGATGTTCTCTCTTCTTTTCTTACCCATCTTAAATGCCATGTTTGAACATTACGATATTTTCTTGCATATACCCTTGGCTCCCTTGATACATTTTTGCTCTATTACACTCTCTTGACATAATAAAATCCTGCTTAAAGTCAACTTTCCATGTTCCGCATACATGTGCCTATGCAACTGACCGTATCTGAATAATTTAACTCCTGCATCACTGTTAATCTCTCCACATCGTTTGTTCTAATTCTTAGCAATTTCATCATACATGTAGATGATCACTTCCAACTCTCCAGACTCAGTTCCTCATCCTCTCCTCCAGTTATGGTTATTCTTCTACCATTCCTCAGCCATTACTCTCAGGTCACACCCTAGATTTTGTAATTACTACTTAGTGCACATAATTTCTACTTTTGGCATCTCACCCTCTGACTCCTACCTTTATCTTCTCTCTTTCCAGCTTGCTCCTTCTTGAGTCCCATTGAAATTATAATCTATTAACCTACTACATTTTCAGTATCCTTTAACCAACAGATGTCTTTTCACTACCTTACCTAAATTAAGTTTCATGGCCTGTCATTATATACACTCTCGTATAG